TCGTGTTTCCCAAGCAACCAACCCAGTCTATGACTTGGTGATTGTTAAATAAAGAAATAAATACATTTTAGTGAATGAGGGGATTAACAAACAAATGGGTGGATGATGTGACAGGGAGTCACGACTCAAGACAGCCTGCTGTGCAGGGATCAAATGGACAAAAGAACAAGACAGAACCAGAGGCCAAGACCTCTTGCCTCCCACAAGAAGATACTCATTTTTGAAACACTTACTTAAAAACATGTTTCATTATTTTCAGATGCTTCCCTAAATGGATGTAGTGAACTAAAAGTGGGAATCACATAATGTAATCTGACACACAAAAATGAAGCAAATTGGTTCCTTGCCAGGCAAAAATAAACAGACTAGAAATTATAATGTTCATGGGTCTTTTAGCACTGAGAGTGTTAGAGCAGGCAGATAGCTAGATATGAGCAGAGAAATGGGGACACAGACCAAATGGCAGGAATTGGGCAGAAAGGAGGGGCACAGGCCAAATGCAGGAAACCACACGTCATGTAAGCACCAGGGGTCCCTGGGCAGAGAAAGAAAAGCAGGAACCTTTGAGCTGATAAGGGATCATGCCTTTTGGGGTGATGAGTGGCCTGGAGACAAAGAAAGGTGAGAAAAGGCAGGACTTTCCAGTGTCCGAATGTAACCTTTTGCTCATTATGCCCTCATTTCAGTAAAATTAGCCTTGCAGATTAGAAGTACCCATCATGCACTGACACCATGACAAACACTTCTAATCCAGACTAAATAAGGACTAAAATCCCTCCTCCCTTTGGGAAGGTGGAGTTAGGATGATAACCAGGGCATACGACCCCAAGCCCTTCCCTCCCCAGTGAATATTCTGCCCATTCATTTTTACACCCTATGTGACTAACTTGCTAAAAAAACTCAGGGCAGCCGCTCACCTGAGCCTGCCCACTCTCCCCTTGAGAGTGTACTATCCATCCCTTAATAAATCCTCACTTTACTTTTTCAACCACTATGTCTCATCTCCGAATTTTTTCTGGGATGGGACAAGAACGTAGAATGCCAGTTGCATCTACTGGCAGCAAGAGGAGGGGCGAGTGGAGAAGGAAAGGCAAGAATATAAGATGAGCTTGTACCATCTGAGGTGAATTTCCCTTTGCCACTTGGGGCTTGAATGATTTTGGCTTTGGACCTCTTGTCTCACTGCACCTCTCTCTCCAGAAACCACCTCTTCCTCTGCTTGTGCATCTGCAGGGTTAATTGCCTCCAGGGACAGCTGAATTGACCACACTTGAAAGATGGGACCACTGAAGCTAAGTGAGTACAATAACTAGGCCAGAGGCGACAAATACACGCTTTCTCTGTAGCCCAAACCCCTCCTTCATCTGGTGCATCCATGTCACTCCATGAGTGAAAATCCACTCTTAGCTGTGGCCTGGATCCATCATTTCTCACCATAGCTTACCCCCCAACTCCGCTCTGCGTGTTGGTGCCCAAAAGACCAGTCTAGCCCCCAGTCCCTGTTTCTAAGCTCCTTTGAGCCAGTGCTTCAGGAGCAGAGTGGGGAGGGGTGGGAGAGTGGAGGTGGAGGGCTGCAGGGAGAGGGGCAGAATGTGTCAGTGAGTACTGATGGTGTAGCGGAAAGATTCCAGGATTTGGCGTCAGACAGACCTAGGCCCAGATCACAGCCCATCTTGGAGCAATTTACTAAACCTTTCCAAGCTTTCACTTTCTTACCTGTGAAAAGCAATTCATAATATCCGCCTTGCAGGTCACTGTAAGCATTGAATGTGAAGGTGGCAGCACAGACACTGGGCACACAGTTGGGACTCAGTAGGGTTTTCTGCCTTCCCTTTCGTTCCTTCCTGTGGGCAGTAGCATGGTGCAGAGGATGAGTGCGACTTTTGTAGTCAGACAGACCTGGCTGAAATCCTGGCTCGGCCATGGACTAGCTGCATGGTCCTGCACAGGTAACTTAACCTCCCAGAGCCTCCCTTTCCTCATCTGTAAACTGGGGGCAGCAGGTGGGGGAGGGCCCTCCTCACACGTTGAGGCTTTCATGAGGTAATGCATGCACAGTGCCTGGAGCGGAGGTGGGGGGATTCACGACATGCAGATTTCCTCTGCCAGGTTCCCTTGTGGATTGACGGTTATCTGCCCATCGAGGAGGGACGGAGTCTTACAAGACTCATTCTCTCTCTCTGAAGGAAATGCGAGCCCAGGAGTAGCCCTACAGAATATTAACTGTGCCGTCTGCTTTCACCGCCTGTCTGCACAAAGGGCTGTTTGTGGGTCCGCTGGCACTGGTATGCCAATCGTGTACCAAAGTCATGCATCTGTACAGGGCGAAACTTCTGCCATGGATGGACTCAGCTCTGTCTGAGCCCTGTGGCGTCCAAGATGTCTTGATGGCAAAACTCCCCTCTGCTATTGTAGGAAGTGCAGCTCCTTTCAGTTCATGTATAAAATGGCCATTAAAAGGAAACCAAGCCCTCACATCCTAAGGCAGCTCTGAGAGCGGTTTTCTGTATTTGCCACAGGTGAGGTAAAATGCTCCCTTTCTAGAAGTGTTCTTAGCAGTGAAATTTTCTGGAAACAGAGCAAGGGCACTGCTAGTTCTCCAGAAGCTCCCAAGTCATCAAGTTTTCGTCACTTTTATGTGAAAAGCAGAAAGAAGGGACAGGGTTTCTACCAGATGTCTGCCTGCCCCAGACTGCATTTAAATGAAACCTGGGCTTTGGAGTCAGACCCACCTGCGTTTAGATCCTGGCTCTGCCATTGACTTACCTTGAGCAGGTGTCTTACTCTTTGTGAACCTCATCTTTCTCATCTGTAGAATGGGGGAGGGAGGAGAGTCAGCCCCTCCTAAAGTTGTTAGGAAGTTAAACGCTGTAATGTAGGTTCAGCGTCTCATGGGGAGCAATGTAGCCACATGGCGATGCCCCTCTCTCCTTCCCCTTATTTCCCTTGGAGTCTGTTCCAAAGGACAGCTAAGTAGGTATGATAATACTAAGCTCCCTCAGACATAGGATGACTTTAGATGGCCACCTCACCTAAGACGACAGCAGGTCTCCAGCTCACTTCTGGGCAGCACTCTCAGGGCCACACTCGGGCGGGGCCTGTTTGACCAAACAAAGCAAGGGATGTAGAGAAGCAGTGATTGCCTGTCTGGACACAGGCCCCATGGCGCTCCCTCACCTGCTCACTCGGCTGCACCTTTCACCCAGCCTATCTCACCGCAGTCAGGTTGCAGTTGTGGCGACTGGGGACGAGACTGCCTTCTTTCCCACCATATGTAACATCGTTTGGGCACTGAGGGCTTCCGGGGTTGGGGCTGGCTGACTTCTGATTGGCTGAGGTGTAAGCGGTGCATAACGATCAGGCTACTTCATCTCCAGTGCCCCCTCCACCCAGGCCATTTTGTCTGCCCTTCCCTTTTCAAGTGGGTTAGTGGGAAAAACATGTCTTCGAGTCAGACCTCACATTCAGGCTCTGCACCTTCATGGGTGATTTTTGACATTATTTAACCTGTTTGAGTCTCTGTTTCCTCATCTACAAAATAAGGGGATTACGCTTGTCTCAGCATTTTCCAAAAGTCTTCTTTGGACTCCTGGTTTGGGAGGATGCTACTGGTGTCACACAAAACAGAGAGTTATGTGATCAGATAAAGTGTGGGCAACGTTAAGTCAAGTGAAGACAAAGACTCTTTTTTACTTTAGGACTTCTCTTCATGTGAATCTTCAAGGGGTGGGAGTATGATTGTCAACATCTCCAAATGTGTTTTACCACCTTTTTCTTGCAAACAGAATATCCCCTTAGACATGAAAGGTGATGTAGTGCAGTGGGTGGGGACACAGACTTGGGAGCCAGATTGCCGGAGTACAAGCACCTTTGCCACTTACTAGGTGTATTAGTTATTTACTGCTGTGTAGCAAAGCACCACAGACCTCGAGGCTGAAAACAGTGCACACTTATTATCTCACAGTTCCTGTGGATCAGGAATCCGGGAAAGCTTAGCTGGGCCATTGCTTCAGTGTCTCTCACAAGGCTGCAATCAAGGTGTTGGACCAGGGTTGGGATCCCAGTTGAAGCATCTGCTAGAGGAGGATGTGTTCCAAGCCCACGTGGTTGTCGGCAGGACTGAGTTTCCTGTGGGCTGTTGGCTGGAAGCTGCCCCCAGTTTCTTGCTGTGTGCGCCTCTCCAACATGGCAGCCTGCTTCCTCAGATCCAGCAAGGGATCAAATCCGCTAACAGGGTGGAAGTTACCACCTTACACAGCTGAATCACGGAAGTGACAGCCTGCCTGGCCCCTTTGCCATATTCTCTTGGTTAGAAGCAGCCACTTGTCCCGCCCACACTCAAGGGGAGAGACCTGCTAAGGCATGAGCGCTAGGGGGCAGGGGTAACGAGGGGGCCATCGGAGAGCCTGCCTGTTACACCTGTTGTGTGACTTTGGGCAATGAGTTAACTCTGTGCCTCAGTCTTATCGTCTGTACCATTGAGCTGACAATGATAATATCTTCTTTATAAAGTTATGATTTAATGTGTTAACATGCAGAAAGAAGTATCTGGCAAATAGCAGTCACTGCTTCTACATACTTGCTTTTTTCTCTACCAAGACCAGTGTCTGGCACCTAGACAAAACTCAGTAAACAGTGGCTGAATGAATGAAGGAAGGGACAGACTCGAGTCACGCGGCACGCACCCTTTGGGAAAGGCTGCCCTCCTTAGGAGCGCTGCACAGACGAGAGATGAGGAGCTGTGAGAAGCAGCGTTCCTGGAATGTGCTGGGTCCCCGCGAGATGTCAGTTCTCCTTCCCACTTGCAGGCTTGTGTGTCCAGTCTGAGATTTAAAGCTCCAGAGAGACTGGGTGCGGTTTCCCTCTTCCTCTCTCCCTCCTACACCCGTAGTCATCTTCTTGGTACAATGACTGCTGTGTGCTTCGCAGGGGCTCTGGATGAGGCTGGCAAAGACGATTAAGTATGCTCGAGGGGCCCGAGCAACAAGAGAAATGAGGGGAAAGGGGGGAGCAGAGAATAAACGTCTGAAGAAGTGGAAAAAAAGGGACAGAAAGGACCACTTTGAAGAGCGATGAATGCTCTATTTTCTCAATGTACCTAAGAATCTGAGCTGTTTT